TGCGGCGTGCGCGCGGGCGTGCGCGCGGGCGTGCGCGCACGTGCGCAGGCGTGCGCGGGCGTGCGCGGGCGTGCGCGGGCGTGCGCGGGCGTGCGCGGGCGTGCGCGCACGTGCGCGCACGTGCGCGGGCGGGCGCGTAGTGCTGCGTAGTGCCGCGTAGTGCCGCGTGCGCGTCGCGTGCGCGCGCGGGCGCGCGCGTGCGCGCGCGCGCGCGCGCGGGTGCGCGGCGTGCGCGCGCGTGCGCGCGCGTGTGCGGCGTGCGCGGCCAGGGCGCAGGCAAATGCCTGAGGGTATGGGGGTGGGCGCCACCCTGGGGCTACCCATAGCATCGTCGGCTCAGTGATGGGTATCCGTGCGGTGGCGGCACTACAACGCGAACCTTGCACACGACGCGACGCCGGAGCGCCCCCACCAAGGCGCGAGACACACGCTGGTATCTGGCGCGCGGAAAAGCCGGCCAGAAGGTGTGTGGTGACGGCACCGTGGCAGGAGTGCGGAGAAGAGCTCGCCGAACGCGAGCAGCAGATGGCCAAAGTGTGCCAGCGCGAGAGAGCCTCGCGAGCGGGCGCAGAAGGAGCTCGCCGTGACACGATGCCGGGCGGTGGTGATGCTCTGGCGGCTGTGCACAGTGGGCAAAGTCAGGCTGCAGCAGGGCAGCACGATGGTAGTGCCCTGCTGCAGCCTGGCCTGACATGCACAGGGCGAACAGAGACACTACTATCGTCCGGCGCTCGTCACCGAACCTGGGCGAACTTCGACCGCCGCCACAGCTCACCACGAGCACGCAGCGACAAAATGTTGACTGTACGGAAGTTGAGGCTGGTCGAGAGGAAGAGGCTGCCGTGCGAGCCGGCAGCTGGCTGGCTCGGGTGGACTGCCCGCAGCGTGTTTTTTCGGCTTCTTCATTCATAGTAGTAGCGTATACGCTACTTTCGTTTACCCACACTAAGCGAGTACTCGGTCACGGCGTACGTGCGCACGCAAGCGAGCGAGGACAAATTCTACTCCTTCCTCCAGTCGGCGTGGAGCAAGATCCTGGTGCGTGGCGTCGCCTCGGCCTCGGACACCGACGGATGGCGCAGGGTCAAGTGCGTGCGGAGCCTCGCCGAGTGCGTCGCCACGGCCGACTACGTGCAAGAGTCGGTGGTGGAAGAGCTGGGAGTACTTGGAGCACTTGGAGTGCAGTTAGTAACCTCACATCCAGGGCCGGTGAGCTGAGAAGCGCACCCAGCGGGCCGGATGATCGGGATCGGGCTACGGGCTAGAGAGCCCTGACCCCTAGCTAGGGTGCGCGCGACCTGTTTCTTTCGCGCGACGGCGGACTGCACGGGAAGCCGACTTCCACATCTTCAGTTATGTCCACTCTTACGCAGGCGGCCGCTGACGGCGACGTGGTGGAGATGCGGCGCATCATTGCCTCGGGCGAGACCGTCAACGCGACACGCGGCGACGGCGCTACGCCACTTCTGCTCGCTGCGCTCGGCGCGCACGCAGAGGCGTGCCGAGTGCTGCTCGACGCTGGCGCCGATCTGGACACGCCGAAGGACACGGGCGCAACGGCGCTCTTTGCTGCCGCGGCGTCCGATTCGCCCGAGGCGATCGACTGCGTCACCCTCCTGCTCGCTGCGGGCGCGTCGGTCGACCTGCCAAACACTCACGGCGTCACGCCGCTGCAGACGGCTGCGCACAAGGGGCACGCGGGCGTGTGCGAGGCGCTCCTTCGCGCCGGAGCGGACGCCTCGCGGGCCGACAAGGCCGGCAACACGCCGCTCCACAAGGCGGTTCGCTCTGCCGCTGTGGAGGCGCTCGACGCGCTGCTGCTCACCGCTGCTGAGCTCGAGGCGGGCGGCGGCGGCTCGGGCAGCGCCGCGGCAGCACGGGCCGGGGCCGACGCCGCGGCCCTGCTCGCGGCACGCAACGAGGCCGGCATGACCGCGCTCGAGATGGCGCTCGATACCTC